ATCTATCTGCATGCAGCCCCTGGCTCAGGACCTGACCTGAATAGATCAGGATGGCATCTTGGCCACCCAGCTCCTTGCAGTACCAGAGAAAATGCTGCGCCCCACCTGCCTGTCATTCCATCACACACACTTTCATAACTGGGAGTTTTATTTGGGTGTGAGCTTGGGAACTCTGTGAGTCAGCTCTAGTTCCGAGGAAGGCATGTCCACATGCTGGTGTGAGAGCTTCCCAGCACTAGAAGTAGGCAAAGGAGGCTGCAAGCCTGGATGGTCTTCTCGGAAAATGTTGGAGCTATGGGTGTTGTGTATCCAGAGAACAACTGGCCTGAGGCCACCCATGGGCTGGGATGAGAATGGGGTAAACTCTGCCTACTGTGGCCACGGTCCACGGTATCCAGGACCCTGCTCTAGTTTGTTTCCTCTTCCATGCAGGTATGTTCCATGGCCCTGACCTCTGCTGCCGGGAACACGACCAATGCCCACAAACCATCTCACCCCTGCAGTATAACTATGGCATCCGAAACTTCCGATTCCACACCATCTCTCACTGTGAATGTGATGCCAGGTTGGCAGCAGTCAGAGAGGGCCTGGGGCTTGGGGACAGAGCAGAGCTACCTTGTTCTTGGGTGTAGGCACTAGGAATCCAGAGAGTTCAGAAGTGGGGGACCCCTTCCTCTCCCGACCACCCTCAGTGCAAGTGGGTGAAACTGGGGTCCCAGAAAATGAATGGTCATCTGGTGGGGTGGGCCGCAGAAGGTACCAGGAGGCTCAGCGGGGTCCTGGGAACTGAATTCTGGTTCTGGGGGCAGGTTTCAGCAATGCCTGAGGAGCCAGCGTGACTCCATCTCTGACATCACGGGCGTGGCCTTCTTTAACGTGCTGGAGATCCCCTGCTTTGTGCTGAAGGAGCAGGAGGCCTGTGTGGCTTGGTACTGGTGGGGCGGGTATGTGGCTGTTCCACTTTAGTCCTTGCCCAGCCAGCAGGGCAACTTGGATTCCAAGACCAGGGAGGGAGGGAAGTCTGTCCTCTAGGAGCCATGCACTGTAGAGTTTGCCTTTTCCTTAAGGTAAGGTTATGGGTTTGGACCCTGCTGGAGTATATCCCACAACCCAGTGGGTTGGGGATGGGACTAGCAGCGATTTAACCTCAGTAGTTATGACCCTGGAGCCTTTAGGAACAGAATTTGTGGATCATCAATTGCCTCGAATTGTCCCCTTCAGGTGCAGGGCATATGGCTCAGTGCCCCTTGCTCATCTTCAGCCCAGGACCTACTATAATGCCTCTTGGAAGACTACAGCCACCTCACCTACTCCCAACCCTCAGAGTCCAGCTCCCAGCGAACACCCCCAGAAGAGGCGCCCACAGCAGACACAAGCCAGGCACCAAAGCATAACCCCCAGCATGGCCCTCCAGACCCCTGTGGCCACCTCCAGGCTTGATATGGTCCCCAGAGCCCAGCCAGGAGTCCCCCACCCAGCCTATCAAAATGGCCCAAAACGTCAAGGTGAGTTTAAAACCATGTTCTTAGTGGGTGGGTTGAGTGGGTGTTCTTGCCTCTGTGTGCAAATGTAGGTGTCACTCTTTTCTTGTTCTTAACACCTCCCAGGGCACCCCAACTTTCCTCATCAGATCCTGACAGCCAGGGACTTCTTCATTCCATAAGCTGGACCATGCCATTCCCTGTCGAGTCCCTCACCTCTCATAAATTAGCACTCAGAACCCTCAGGCCCTACAGCTAGAGGGACTCTACCCTCTAGCTGAAACTTCAGCTTCACAGATCTTTCCTCAAATGGCGACTGCAAGGGCTAAATGTACCTGGCCCGATGAATTCAGTGGCGAAGCGTTTGTCTGCCACATGCACGGCCCCCGGGTTCCATCCATGCTCAAGCCCAGCAGAAACAAAACCGAAGCCCTCACAACCTCCCTTTACCGCTAGCTTTGTTTGGCACATGTTTCGCTCTCTCTTTTTCTCTCCCAGACTCAGATTTGTAGTCTCCGTGTCCAGGAAGCCTTATCTGGGCTCTCCAGACAGTGACTGTGCATGGGTGGAGGGCAGTTCATTCTATGCGGGTAACAGTCTGTAAACATAGGGGAGGATACAAAATAGGACCGTGTAACCAAGCACATGCACTAGTGTGTCTCCTGGATGGTGGCAGGCAAGGGTAAGGCCTCCCAGGTGGGCTGGGCTTTCTTCCTTCCTTTTTTTTTTTTTTTGGTTTTTTGAGACAGGGTCTCTTTATGTAGCTTTGGAGTCTGTCCTTGAACTCACTTAGTATATCAGGCTGGCCTCAAACTCACAGAGATCCTCCTGCCTCTGCCTCCCAAGTGCTGGGATTAAAGGCATATGCCATCGCCAAGGCTGGGCTTTCTTCCACATCTGTCCCCAGGTGCCCACCGAGTCTGTCGAACCCTTCGGCGCCTGGACCAGTGTGAGCACCAGATCAAGCCCCAGGAAACCAAGTTCCACCTGCTCAACAGTGCCCAGATGCCCCTTTTCCATTGTAACTGCACACACCGGTGAGGCCTGCTGGGTGGGCTTGGGGGTGGGCTGCCCGCTGCCAGATCTGTGCAGGGGCATCTGGTAAGGTTATGGCATGGACCTGAGCCTGCATCTACCCTCAGTCTGGCACGTTTCCTGAGGGTTCACAGCCCACCTGCAGGCACCAACAAAGTTTGGGAGCTCCTGGGAACTACCTGCTTCAAGCTGGCCTCCCAACTCCACTGTGCTGAAGGCAAAGGGTGAGTGATGGCAGAGTCAGGAGGGATGGGGGCCTTTGCCAAGGGGCTGGGTTTGCCTATACAGAGACCAATTGTGTGCCTGGGACAAGAGGCCTGGAAAAGTATCAGAGGGGCTCTGAACTCCGTTTGTTGTCCCTCTGACTCATGCTACCCTGGGCCCAGCTCTGCAGCAGGCCTGGATGGGTGGGGGATGTGTGTGCCTTGGGCTCTGGGATTTAATTCTCCCCCCCACAAGGCAGCGTTTCTCTGTATTGCTTTGGAGGCTGTCCTGGAACTCGCTCAGCAGACCAGTCTGGCCTCACACTCACAGAGATCCACCTGCCTCTGCCTCCCAGGTGCTGGGATTAAAGTCATGTGCCACCACCTCCCAGCCAGGATTTAATTCTTATATGTCCTTGATACAGTGATTCACTTTTCTAACCCTCTACTACTTCCTTGCCTGTAGGATGGCTACAGGAAAGCCAGATGTAGGGTACATGCCTGTAGTCCCAGTTCTTGGGAAGCCAAGGCAGGAGAATGTACTTGGAGGCTCAGCTGGGATAGATAGCAATTTTAAGGCCAGTCTAGGATAAACAGAGAGATCCTGTCTCAAACAAACAAAAAGATTGCAGAAGACAAGGAAATAGTGGGTGTGCTCTATATAACTCGAGACCTGCTCGATACGGAGATAGGGAAACGGAGGCTCAATTATTGGCTCAGGTTTCCACAACCATTCAGTATGAAACCTAGACCTCTGGGTACCAGCCTAGGTTAATTCTGCCTCATCTGGGAATAGCCATGCCCTCCTTGCCTTGCTGGTGACCCTGACCTCACACCTCCTCCTCTCTGGACCTTGGTTCCATTTTCAAAGTAGGGTGGGATTCTGCTGAGTTTGACCCCTTTTCTTCCCACAGCTGTTCCAGAGGCCACAGAGCCATCAAGGTGTCAGCTCGGCACTTGCAGAGGCTTCAGCAGCAAAGACTCCACTTCTGGGATATAGACACAGATGGGACTCTGGCACAGTCTTTGGAGCCTTCAAGGACCGCCACATCATTCTATAGCCAGTGTCTGCAACTAACCCAAGCAATCTGGAGACCAGGTGGAGAGAAAACATTCTGAAGCTCATGACCTCAGGAAAAATAGCCTGGGCACCAGCCTGAACCTCCTGCCTGGCTCTGCCACATTCTGAGAGAGTTGGCCTCTTCTTCGAAGAACGGCTTGGCTCACACGGGCAACTGGAGGCCTCAAGGCCTAAATGCTGGACCATGTCTGCTGTGCCTGGACTTGGTGTTCAGGAGGCTCCTTCTGAAGCCCTGGGTTTAGACCTTGCCAGGAAACTTCATACACGGTGGAAATGGGGAGTGACTGATTGCAGAGGTACCAGAAGCAGGTGCCTGACTACCCCTGTTACAAAATTAACATATCCTGACACTTGCCTGCAGAAGCCTCAGCACCTGACTGCTGCAGGTGGGGTACAGTAGAAATACCCAGATCTGAATCCAGCATGGAGCATGTTCTCAACTCTCCCCACTGGAGACCCCTTTTCAATAGCAGCTGAGCCCTTCCTGGCCTCAACTAATCTTTCTGCTAGTCTAACTCTAAATTGGAATCTTGTCTGTGCCCTTGAGTTAGAAACCTTCTTCCTCCACTCTGAGCCTTAGTTTCCTCCTCTGAAAATAGGAGGGCTTTTTCTTTGTTTGTTTTGTTTTTTGTCTGAGCCATGGTTTCATTGTAGCCTAGGCTGGCTTCTTCTGCATATATTAATGTAGCCTTGGACTTCTGGTCCACCTTCCTCTACCTCCAAGGGCTTGGATTACGGGAATAAGCCATCACACCAAGTTCTATATGGTACTAGGGATGGAACCTAGGTTTCAACCCTTTAACCAGGGGTTGCTAAGCAAGCATGCAACCAAGTTACACCCCTAGCCTGAATAGGGGACCAGTAAACATGAACTACCTCATAGGGCTGCTGAGGAGTAAGTAAATTAATAAACACACATACAACCAGTAAACATTCTCTTCCTTTAGTGCATAGCCTGGCTGAGCTTTGCTGCCTGCTCTTGAGATGCTGATGGGACCTGTTGGAGGCTTCAGTTTGTCCATCTGTGAAATGGGTCCAAAATGGCACTGAGCACACAGGATTACGGAGAAGATTAAAGGGGACGACATGTTTCCATATTCAGCTGATGCCTAATATCTGTTAGTTCTATCACTCCCTCACATCTTTAATTCCTATCACCCCCATCTGCAGACTGCTCACAAGTCAGGAAAGAGCCAGGAATGAAGCTGGAGAATTTAATTCCTAATGGATGACCTCCAAGATCGCAACATCTGCCAGCGTTTCCCCCAGTATCCAAGATGGGGTCCCAGGCGAGGCTTTGCTGATTGTCACAGTTGAGGTGGTGCCAGGACTGAGTTTGGGGAGCCCCAGTTGGCCACTCCTGGCCAAGACAGAGTGGCAGGTGTGGTTAACAACTGGGGCAGCAGCAAGAGAGGCAGGCGGGTTCATGGAAGATGGAGGCAGAGTGAGGCTGTCCAGGTCCAGCTGCCTACTCACCTCAGGGCCCCAAGCCCCCTTCCTCTAGCCCCAGTTGGCTCTGAGGGCTGGGAGACAGGCTGTTAGGGTCAGGGGCCTCCCGGTCAGGTCCCCAGGAGCCTCCACCACCAGGGTCTACGGTCTCCAGGCGCAAGGCTGGAAGCAGGCCCAGGCTTCGAGGCACAGCTGGTGGGAAGGCCCAAGGGCCAGGCAGCCCGGAGGGCCCCTCCTCACTACTACCTCGGCTGCCACTACTGTGACCCCTGTCAGGGGCTACCCGAGACAGCTGGCGGCTTTGGGGTGAGGGACTGCGGCTGCCACCGCGGCGTTCACGGGATGAAGGACGGAGAGCAAGACTGGGAAAGCGGGCGAGGCCGGGGCTGCGGCTACGGTGTCTCTTGGATTTGCCAGGGCTGGGGCTTCGGGACTTGGGTGCAAGCAGCTCCAGAGTGCTGTCATCCTCGCCCTCCGAGCTGGTGCCTGAGCTGTCTGTGCTGCTGCTGGCCGATTCTGAGGTAGGCAGCGAGATCTGGAGAGAACACGGGCCACTGGGGCAATCCCACTCTAGCCCGCTTCCCTCCATGTTGGCAGACCCAGAGGGGCTGGGCTACTGGTCTGAGGTCACAGACACAGAAGACGTGACACGTGATCGGGACTCGTCGACAAGCTTTGGCCCTTGGGTCTGATCAATTTACCTGGAAGGGCTCAGTGACGCCAATGAGGATGCTGTGGTGGTGGCTATAGTACCCCAGGATGAAGTCTCCGTGGCCCTTGGGCAGCGATTCCTCACTGAAGGTCACCTGGTGGGCACAGGGGTAGAGGCCCAAGCTGGGGCCAAGGGGTAGCCTCAGGAACCCCTCCCCCACGTACAATTCTGGTGTCCCCAAGGCAATGGGACCTTCAGCCCTCCACTCCTTGTAAGTACCTGGTACATATTCCCATCTACTTCTTCATGTTTGGCCCAGACATAAGCCACATAGTCCTTGCAGTGGCGGAAACCCACCTAGGGAAAGAGGAACTAGGGTTGGGACATCTAATGCCAGAAGCGTCTCAGCGGAGCAGCAAACAGGGGACAAGCCAGTGATTCTCCAGGGGGGCCTGCAGGCCCCTCCTTCCTTGAGAGCCCCAGACTCTTGCCCTTCTCACCCGGTACAAGCCGATCCAGTCCCAGGAGCTCCGAGCAAACACTGTTTCCATGCGGTACCGCACCACAGCCTGCTCTGGTCGTGCCCACTCATCGGCTACCTCGAGTCGCACCAAAGGCACATCATCCCTGAAGGCAAACTGTCCAAGCAAGGCAGGGACAGAGGACAATGTCAGAGGATGCCCTTTAACATCTCACATTCCTAGGGCTCTTGGGGGTAGAAACCCATGTTTGTAATGACAGTGTTACTGGAGGCCGAGGCAGGAGAATTTACAATTTGAGGACAGCCTGGGCAACACAGCAGGTTGTGGGCTAGAATGGGCTACATAGTGAAACTGTTCCAAAAACTTGGTAAAAACCAAACCAAATCCAAAAAAACAAAAGTTCCTACCTCCATACTGGGCCCCTTTTTATCCTCAGCTCTCTAAGGAAGTGAGTGGAACACAGCCCTGAAGCCAGCCAGTCCTAGATTTGGCCTTGGCTCAGCCATTGTTGGTTACACAATGGGTTAGTTCCTCGGCTTTTCTGAATGGCAGGCCTTTCTCCGTGAACTCAGAGGCTTTTGTCTTAAAAAAAAGTTCTGTTTTATGTGCATGCCTGTTTGCCTGCATGTGTGTCTGTGCATTGTGTGTGTGCCTGGACCTGGAGTTACAGATGGTGGTGAGCTGCCATGTGGGTGCTGGGAATTGAACCTGGTTCCTCTGGCAGAGCAGCCAGTGAATGTTTTTAACCCCTGAGCCATCTCTCCAGTGCTCAAGGCTCTTGCTTTATACCCAGGCCTGTACTGCTGAAACCCTGAAATGCAATTTGTAACATATTCTTTCATATTGCTTAGGTGCTCACTAAATAATCTGCTTAAATGCTAGCAAGGCAGGTAAGTAAAGTCCTGTGGTATATGGGATTCTGGGATAAACTCAGTTTCCTGGAGCCAACAAAAGCCCAGGAGACCTCAGTTCATTTTCTAGCTCTGTCACTAAATTGCTGTGTGACCACAGACAAAACCCTAGCCATCCCTAAACTCAGTTCCCCACATCTGAATCTTACTATTAAAGGGCCCACTAATAGCTGCCTTTGTCATCAGTACATGGAGACAGATTATCCCTAAGAGCAGCCTGGACCACTAGAGAGCCACCCGAATAGGTAGTTTCTGCAGTGGCGAGCAGCCAGAGTCATGGCCACCTGTGTCCCTAAGAGAGAGCTCAGGTGGTGCCAACCTCAGGCCTTTGTCTGATCTGGTTTCAGGTTTCCTTCCTTCTGCTTCTGAGCCTAGCTGTTCCAGAAGAAACGAGCACATTCTTTCCCCGTCCCAGATTGCTAACAGAAGGACAGGTTGAAATGTGCTCCAAGGCTTTGCAAGGTCACAATCCCTGCAAAGGCACAGTGGTCTAGGGCCACAACCTGAGTACTTAGGTTGACGCTGGAGGATCAGATTCTAGGATTTTTGATGGAGGTCAGATCAGGCTACAGGAGACTGTTCTCAAAAGGGCAAGAAAAGTAAAACAAACAAACAAACCCCCAAACAACCAAAAAAGCAAGTCCTGTGAGATGGCTCAGTGCATAAAATGATTTATCCTCAGGATGACCCGAGTTTAATCCCTGGAATCCACATTTGGGAAGAGAGAACCAACTCTTGAAAGTTGACCTCTGACCTCTTCCAGAGAGTGCACACCTGTGCACATCAATAAATGTAATTTAAAAAAAATCAAAGCAAGGGTCTGGAGAGACAGAGAGAGAGAGAGACAGAGAGAGAGAGATGTCTCAGTGGTAGAGAGCACCATCTGTTCCTCCAGAGGACCCAGGTTCAATCCCCAGCACCCACATGGCGTCTCACCACCATCTAGTTTCAGGGATCTGATGCCTCTTCTGTCCTCCACAGGTACCAGCTACACAGAAACATATACAGCCAAACACCCACATGCATAAAATAAATACTATCCTCAGTTTCTCCCAACAGTGAATTGGAGAGGAGACTTTGGATGTTTCAGAGCCTAAGGCATTCAAGGGAAAATGCATGGAAAGTGCCCTGCACACAGCCTAACACGCAGAAGACATGTGGTAGATAGTTTTGGGTTTTGTTTTTGAGACAGAGTCTCAGTGTATACAAGGGAGGCTTGAAACTCACTGTATAATTCACACTGGCTTTGAACTTGGAATTCTTCTGCCTCAGCCTCCAAACTTAGAGAAATTTGCCACCATGCTTGGTTCAATATGTAATTTTTTATTGTTTTTTGACCAAGGGTCTCACTATGTGGCCCAGGCTGGCCTTGAACTCCTGATCCATCTGCTTCACTATTCTGAATCCTGGAATTATGGGTATAGGTCACCAGCCTCAGCTTATGCTACCTTGCTTTCTTGTCTTTCTTTTTTTTTTTTTTTTTTTTCTTTAGTTGTTTTTGCAATGCTGGGATTGAACTGGGTGCTTTGCACATGCTAGGGAAATGTCCTACAACTGGGTTGCATCTCAAGCCCCAGGTAATGTTTTTTCCCTATCTACTACAGGAAGGACAGGGTAGTATGGCAAGGTGCTGAGGTCCCTGTGTAAGGACTGGAGTGGTGGCACATGCCTGTAACCCTAACACTAGGGAAGCAGAGGTCAGAGGGCCATGAGCTTGAAGGAGTAACCTAAAAACAGCAATAGCCAAAGCTCCCACCCTGTCCCTTTCCCAGAGTTCGAAGGAGGCCAAGCCTAGGCTGATCTCCATCCCCAGCTGAGGTATTGGCTTAAGGCCCACTGACTGATCACGAGACAAAGTTACCATGGGAAACATTCTTTGGCCTGCAGGGTTCCTTCTTATCAGACCAAGAAATAAGAAAACACAGCTTAGGTTTCCAGGTTGGAAACATGGGATCTACCCACTTCTTCTGCTACTGAACCTTTATGTGACTCGAGGCTCATGGCCATCTTGGTAGGAGAATGAGGTTACCTCAGAGTAAGTCATAAACTACACTGTCTTACTTCTATGACTCTAGAACTGCCCTCTTACCTTGACAACTAGGAACTTCAGCTCTAAACACAATAAAGTCATCCCTGAGCATCTGAGTGTGTTTGGTTCCCTGGTACACGCTAAAACCCAAGAATGTTGACATGCCTCACATAAAACAGTATATAGTATGTGCATGCAACTTGCATATCTCTCTATAAACTTAAAATTCTTTCTAGATTACTTATGATCCTTGTTTTATATATATATATATGTATATATATATATATACATATATATATATATAGTATGTATGTCTATATATTATAATGCAAATGACATGAAGATAGTTGTTATACTACATGGCTTAAGGAAAATAACAAGAAAAGTCTATATATTAATTATATATTAATATAGGCACTTTTTAAAACATATTTTAAAATTATTTTTACAACTTTGTTCATATATGTGTGTGTTTGGGGGGGTTGTGCATATGTGTGGGTGCCCACACAAGCTAAAAGCATCAGATCTCCTGGATCTGAGTTATAGGTGATTGTGAGCTACCCCATTTGGGTGCTGGAAACTGAGCCTGGGTCCTCTGCAAGAGCAGTAAGTTCTCTTAACTCTTGAGCCATCTCTTATTTTTTCTCCACATATTTTTATTTGTAGAGCTGTAATGTGGAGACTGTGGCACTGAATTTGGTCCTGGGATGGAATACAGGCCTTATACGTGCTAGGCAGCAGTCTGCCAACGGGTATATCCACAGCCTGGCTTTGGTTTTGTTTTTTGTTTTTCTCTCTCTCCTTCCTTATCAATGCCCATTTCATAATGCCTGCCATATGATAAGTTGATGCTTATTCAATAAGTTAACAATGAAATGAATGTTACCTGGGCTTTGAGTAGAAATTTTGACTTTGCTGGTCATATTATATATGTGATTTTTTTTTTCTTCTTGAGACAAGGTCTCATATACCACAGCCTCAAACTCACTATATATCTGAGGCTGGTCCTGAATTCTGGACTCTCCTGCTTCAAATTTTAACTTGTTGCCTTAAACATTTCTTGGAAGAGGGAAGTCAGTTATAGATAGTGGAAAGATACGAGCTCTGCAATCAAACTGTCTTGGGTTCAAAGACTTCCTTTTCCTCTTACTATTGTGTGGCACTGGGCAAGGGAAGCCGCGTCTCAGCCAAAGTCTCATCTAAAAACGAAGATTATAATCCCACTCCCTCCTTGCTTGAAAAGCAGGATGCTGTTAAGGGCAGGCAGAAAAGATTGCTGAATGGATAGAGGGTGCTCAGCTTGAGGGGAGGTGTGACCAAGACTCACCTGCAGGACAAATTGGGCAGCAACGGGCTTGTGGTCACTAACAGTGTACTCCATGTGGCTGCAGTAGCTGTGTTGGGTCACCTGGAGCCTGTGACTCTCTCGTCCTGAGGGGCTGGGACCTCCACCTGGAGCCTTGACCCTCCACAGAATGCGGTCTGTCCAGGCTGGCTTCCGCTTCTTGGCACTGAGTAGGAGAAGGCAGCCTGAGTTTCAGGGTCTGGGGTGGGGGGTGGGGTGGGGGTGTCAAGCATCCCCATTCTCACAGGCTCCCTTCCCCTCATCCCACCCCATCTCACGGCTTACCTGGTATCATACTTGTTGGTACCCACATCAAACTTGAAGGTGGGAGCAAAGTTAAGGGGCCCTTCCTGGAAACCTTTCAAGATGGGCCAAGTGTTCTTGGCCATGTTGAGCTGTGGGGGTCCAGAAAGGCAGAACAACAGCTTGGGCTTTGCAGCACCAGAGATACAGTGGGACAGATGAGGCCGAGGGCAGAAACCTGAGGTGCTGGTTGAGTTCCAGGTTGAGGGAGTTGAGAGAGGGAAACTAGGACTCTTACCTGGTCCTTTTCCCAGAGCTGATGGAGCTGGTTACTGTCTATGGCAAACTTGACAAAGTGTAGGTCGTAGCTCTCAATTCGGAAGTTCAGGTCCCCAAACCAGAATACAAGGCTGCTCCGGGGTGGGAATGGGGTTCAGTGTGTCCATGGGGTGAAAGGCTCAATCTAGATCCTTCCTGGAACCTATCCAACCCCATAGCACTGGTGCCTTTAGAGGTGCCAATGGGTGGGGGCTGCCAGAGCCTTCAGTCATCCAAGGGACGGAGGAAAATGGGGATGGAGGAGTAAGAGGGTCTAGAGAAATTAGATTTGGACCCTCAGCAAGAAAGTGCTCCTCAACAAAGCTCTATTTTGCAGGACTCACCCTGCCCCACAAAACTGCTATCTGCCTCCATTTTTTCTACAGGCAGTATGGTGGATCCACCTTTCCACACCCACCCACCGAGTCCACGCTCTGCAAACCCACTTACTCATGATCCAGGATGCCGTGTGCACCTGGTCCCTGGAACTGCTGGAGGCTAAGGATAGTTTGAAAGTTATCCTTGCGCTGCTCTGCCTTGTCCATGTGTGCCGGCAAGTGGCAGTTTAGGAAGCATAGCATGTGTCCAAAGGCAGCTAGGCGCACACTTACTCCGCCCTTGTTACCCTAGGGGCGAGGTTTGACAGGTCATGGGCCTGGCATGGGTCAGGAGGAGAGTCCCTGCTGGGCTGGGCATAAGAGCAGGTAAGGAGCAGAGGAAGCTTAAGCTTAAGCATGGATGGACCGAGAAGGGGCGCAGGCTAAAGGGGTGCAGGCTAAAGGGATGGCCCTAGTGATGGCTGGTGCTCGGGTTGGTGAAGTCTCAGGGTGAAGGATGCAAGCATGAGGCAGGCCACACTCAAACCCATTCCCACACTCACCCAGTAGCCACCCAGACCAGTCCTTGTACAGTCTGTCTGCACATCCCGCAGGAAGGGCAAGTGGTAGTACTTGGCGAACAATAGCAGGATGACACCCTGCATCCTCACAGTGCTCACCTGCAGGGGAGACCTGTTGGGGATACTCCACATACAGCTCGCCCCAGCCTCTGCCTCCTGCCCCCCATCTCCCTAATTCAGAGACCCAGCAATAGAGACCCAGCAGTCCCCTCAGAGATGGGAGCAGGAATCCAAAAGTGTCCCTGCTTCCCAGGAGGGCGTTGGTGCTATTACCAGCACGAAGTTGAAGGGCCCCAGCGCATCCATGAAGAGCTCGCTCCACTGGTCAGTGAAGAGTGCATCCTTGAGCCTCTTGTTAATCATGGAATTGACTTCTTGCAACCTGGGAGGTAAGTGCGACAGGAACAACCATGCACGATTGATTGATTACAGGAGCTGCTTTAGGAATTCCTTCTGAGGGTGAGTGTCCAGGGGGTCAAAATGCTCAGGAAGGGACCCGCCCACACCATTCCTCACCCTATGGCAATCATATCTGCACCATCACTGTCATGGCCACCGCCCAGGTGAAGAAGAGATGTGACATCGTCGGGGGGCATGGCAGTCCCCACGTTCCATGTAACCACAGTGATCCTGGAGGCAGGGGCGTGGGCGAGTTTACTGCTGGGCACCATTCCCGACCCTCCCTTTCTCTCCCACAGGACTGTGTCTGAGGAGTTAAGCCGAGGCAGGAAAAGATTTAAGGGCCCTTAGAAAAGACTCAAAGTGGGCCCAGCATTCTTTACTACCTTCCTAGGGAGACAAACCAAAGGAAAAGCAGGTCCCTTAGAAAGGGACAGTATCTTCTAGGGTCCCAAAGCGGGCCCAGCAGTTTCCCCTCTCCTCAGGATAAAGTCTTAGGGAGGTAAACTGAGTAAAAATACACCACCACCCTGGAAGAATGGCCAGTAACTTTTCACGAGAGAAAGCCCCTCACCGGAATCCGGGGTCACTCTTGCAGGTAGGCTGAGCTGACCAAGGGGAAGATGGTGAGGTGGTGGTGGAGGCTGGGCTTTCTTGCGCCTGTTGGTTAGGGCTTGGGCACCTGCCAGGCCCTACAGCCTGGGCGCCAGGTCTTGGGGGTGCTGTCTCCGGGGCGGGAGGCACACAGGCAGAGCGGTTGGGAGAACGACTCGGGGAGCGGCTGGGAGACCGAGGTGGCTTGGGTAGAGGTGGGGGCACAGTCTGGTTTAAGGAGCTTCCTGGCCGAAAGGTAGGGGACAGAAGTCCAGGAGAGCGGGTGCCAGGCTCTGGAAGGCCTGGGCTCACATCCAAGGGCAGGGTCTGTGGTGGTGGTGGCAGGACAGAATCCTCTAGGCTGTGACGTGGAGCCTCTGGTCGAGCACGGAAGGAGGGGGAAAGCCGGGGGTCTGAGGAAGTTTGGGCCCTTGGTGGAGAGGTGGCAAGAACAGCTGCGTGAGTTGGAGTGTGGAGACACCCCTCTGCCAGGGGGGTGGGCCTGGGGATTGCAGCACCCTTCTGTCTAGCTGGCAACTGTCTTTCAGAAGCTGGGGTAGATGTCACAGATGCTGGAGCCAGGGTCTGCTCCTGAGAGGGTGACAGAGCAGGACTGGGCTCTGGGGAAGGACTGGAGGGGGACTGCAGAGGCCGCTCCTGAGAAGCCAGGGCTAGGCTCAGGCCCGAGGCTGCCAATGCTGGCTTAGGTCCCACAGAGGTGGGTGACAACTGCTTCTGGTCCCTGGAAGTTGGAGATAGGATGGGCCCCAGGGTAGCCTGAGGAGGCCTTGGCATAGCAGAGGCGGATATTACTAGTTGCCCTAGAGACTTTGGAGCCAGGATGGAGACTGAGTTGGCTGGTGGAGGCTTTGGTCCTGCAGAGGCAGATACCACCAGCTGGCCCACGGATGTTGAACCCAGGTTGGAGCTGCGGTGGGATGGAGGCCTTTTCTGTTCTCCAGGGGTGCAGAGTGGAGCTGGGATGGGCAGGGGAGATGCTAACGCTGGCCTTGGCCCCTCTGAGGGAGGTGACACAGCTGCCCGTGGTCCCACAGGTGCCAGAGCCAATCTTGGTTCCGTGGGTACTGGACCTGTGTTCTTTGCTGGAAGCTGAAAACTTGCGTTCACCTTGTAGAGGACAAATCAATGACGCAGAGTGACTTTTTACCAAGGGCTCGAGTCTCCGCTCCCATATAGACCCCCCACAGACCCATACAGCCGAGAAGGACGTATCATTCCAAGGAAATTCTTCCCGCTATCTCACTCCGACCCATTCTGCTCTAGGTCAGTTTCTCTCTCAGAAGAGATGGGTTACAAAAGACATGCTTCCATATTAAACTTTAAGAGCCTTTCACACACAGATGGGCAGACGGACCCTGAACGGACTGAGAAGGGCATGAACCTGAGTCTGAGGCTCGCCCGGTCTTCCCGGCTGGCACCTACGCTACCCTAACCAGCTTCCAGGAGAGCTCTCACTGTAGCCTCTGCAACACCCTTTACTGAGGGCAGCTGACTCAACACCCCAAGTCTGTCCCTGTGGGTATGGTGTTACAGGGTCCACCCTGCTGAGTGCCTTTCCTTCCTTCTCAGTGCAAGCCGGACTCAGGGGCTGCTCATACACCACCCGACCCCTTGGTCACAGCCTGCCTGGGCCGGTCCATTCCCAGTGCACCTTGCAGGGTCATGAGCCTGCAGTTGAGACTGTCATATGCATTCCCATCCCAGCTCTGTGTGACTTTAGGCAAATGCTCCTCAGCCCACAGCCTGTTTCCTATCTGTAGAACAAAGGGACGGTGGGAAGGGTCCCTGACCACACCACTTTGTCTAGGGCGGGAGCGACTGTATTTCCTGGAACCTCCTGAGTGCTGGGGATTGAGCCCACCCTCGGGCCAGCGAGTGTGGTCTGTTGCCACGCCTCTCCCTCGCTGTGCCCAGGCTGCTCTCCCAACCTGTGAGGACAGGCAAATAGGTGCCCTTTATACCTGACAGGTGGAATAGCTCCCTCCCCTGCCTTGTCCACCCTGTTTACAATGTCCCCAGTCTCCAGAGGCCAGGAGAACTCGTCCTTTGCCAGGGAGGACAGGAGAAGGTCTAGATGCGCCTCAGGGTGGCCCCATCCTGCTCTGGAGACGCAGTTCAGTCCCAGTCTCTGTCCCTGTCCTTCTCGGTTCAGAGAATCTGAATTGTACCTCCACCTCCTTCTCTGAACTCCGCTCTTTGAGGCTGCATTTTGGATACTTCCAAGTGTCCCACAGTGTGCCCCCTCCCCCCAACCACCATACCGCCTCCAGCACTAACAACTTAGACACCCCAGATGTCACAGTTCTAGTCTTCAGACACAAACCCCCTCATTTTGCATTGGCTCAGAGAGGACAAGCAACTTGCCCAAGGTCACACAGCAAAGCTGAAGAACACCTGGGGCCCCTGACAACCATCCAGAGCACTTCTGGGGGCCTCCGGGTCATGGCTGATTTCATTTCTCTATGGACATCCCACCACTGCCCTTCCAGGGTGACATTATTTGCCCAGTCCCTGCTTGGTGGGCACAGAAAAGTACCGGTCCCTTAGCCACTTAGCCAGGGGCACCGGGAGTGCCTGCAGAGTGTGTGTGTGGTGGGAAAGTGTGAGGCCAGGGACCTGGAATGGGAGCTAGGGTTGGGGGGCTCTTACCTTTGAGGGTGCCCCAGCTTGCAAAACCCCATGGGGCACAGGCAAGGGTCCCAGGCCAGTCCCGGTACCTGGCCTGGCACTACCATGGCTGCTCTGGCCCTCCATGTCTGCAGCCCCCAGCAGCCTAGCCTGGCTCCCTTGGGTTCTGGCTCCAGCTCCTCAGCTCCCGGGAACCAGTGATGTCATCAGCCATTTCAACCTGCTGAGAATTTAAAGGCACAGGCACCCACTTCCCATATTGAAGGTGGCCAGGCTAAGTGGCTAGACCCTAGGAAAACTTCAAGCTGACTGTTGATGCTGCTACATCTGTGGGTAATATAAATAAGCACCTGCCAGCCTGGTCCTAATCCTTCATGGACCCTGGAGGAGACCCCCTGTCTGCCCCACCCTCCAGACAGTAGGCCAGACCCACCCTTTCTCCAGGGAAGGACATAGGCACACCTTCAGGTAATATAGGGACAGGTGGTTCAGAGGTCAGCAGCCTCTTCTAGTTCTCAGGGACACCGGAGTCCCTGCCCTGTCCTTTTCCTGGCTTCCTGATAAGCTCAGGACTTGGCTTGGCCCCCACCCTTGCCCCATTTTCAAGCCTTGGGCCAGCTTGCCCTCCTCCACACCATCCCTGTCTGGCTTATTCTTCCCATACCAAAACCAGACAGTCAGGCTCCAGCCACTGGAGTCTTCTCCTTTCAAACCCAGCGCCAGCCCCTCCTCTTCTGCCGACATCACCCTCAGAAGTCCCCACACAGAAGCCTTCCCAGGCCAATCCCAGCCTCTCTCTAACTAGCACTCACTCACTGCTCTGGCTCTGACAGGCACTAGTCAAGGTCACCCCCTGAACTAAGGCGCTCCTCTGAGTTTCAGCGGCTTAGTCCAGGGATCCAACCAACTTGAACCAGTGGGGTTTGTGGGGGAGAAAAACTGGGGAGCAGAGGGGTCCAGCATTGGAAAAGGACTCAGCAAGAGAGTTAAAAAGAGGCCTGCAAAGCTTATTGTCACCCCAGCACCAGGAAGGCCAATGTAGGGGTCTTGCTGAGAGCTTGAGGCTAGCCTGAGCTATAGTGTGAGCAAAGCCAGGCCAGTTTGGGATGCATAGGGAGACTTCCCTCAAAAAGCCAAAACTGGGGACTGGAGAGGTGGCTCAGCAGTTAAGGGCACTGGCTGCTCTTCCAGAGAACCGGGGTTCAATTCCCAGCACCCACATGGCAGCTCACAACTGTCTGTACCTACAGTTCCAGGAGACCCAACACCCTTTCACAGGCAACGCACATTAAAAATAGTTTTAAAAGAAAAGCCAAAACCAAAACCAAGCCAAAGGCTCACTAGGCTTTCAAACCTTAAAGATCAGGACCCAGAACAGGGCCTGGTTCTCGGCAGGTACAGGGGTAACTTTGATGAATGAATGAATGAATGAATGAATAGTTGAGCTTGTGATGCCAGCATTTTGAAGAGAATCAAGAATTCAATGCCTAGGGCTGGAGAGATGGTTCAGCAGTCTAGAGCCTGATTGTTTTTCCAAGGGCCCAAGTTTGATTCCTAGAATCCATGTCAGGTGACTCGTAACTGCCTGTGACTCCAGCTTCAGGGGATCTGATCATGGGAGTACCCACACACATGGCACACACACACATACACACAGAATGAAAACTGAAATAAAAGCTCAACATCACCTCTTGCTATAAGCATTGAGGTCCTCTGGGCTAAATGAGACACTTTGTAAGTAAAAGTAAATACATTAAAAAGAAGAGAGAGTGGCTGAGAGGGCAGCTTTGGCCAGAGATGAGTGTGGGCTGTAGGATTCATCCTTCTCTACTTCTGATACCTCCCAGCTAAGTAATCCCTGGAGTCTGGTTCACCTAGGATTACTAGAACATACCAAAGATGAAGTACACCCAGGTCAGGCAGAAAATGTTCAGAGTTTGTTTGTTTGTGTGCTATTTATTTATTTGCTTGTGTATGGTGTATGTAGTTGGTGTGTGCCCATGTGTGTGCAGGAGCATGTGGAAGCCAGAAGAGGACCTCCGTGCCTTGCTCTAGCATTCTCTGCCTTAATCCTTTGACAGGGTCTCTCGTTGAACCTGGAACTAGACTGACAGCCAGCAAGTCCCATCTCTGCCCAGCATCCTCTCCATGTTGGGTTTCAGGCACAGACAACCATGCCCAACTTTTTACATGGGTTCTGGGAATTTGAACTCTAGTCCTCAAGCTTGCACAGCAAGTTCCCTTATCTATTGAACCATCTCCCTAGCCCAAAATGTTCAGAGTCCTGTGCTCGGAGTCCTTGTGAGTCAACAGCCATCTCTGTATTTTCATTAGCTTGTGCCGATTCCTATTTGAAGTCCTTGGGAACAGACACTACAGGCCTTTTCCTGGCTGTGCTCACTCTTCTGGACCTGCTCTGAGTCAGGCCCATGTGTCTGGATCAGCTCCTTTGTAAGGAAGGCTGGAGTGTGTAGGGGCAAAGACTCAGACCAGGGTAACCGTGGGATAGAAAGTATCCTGAGGGCAGCGGAGATGACTGTAATGGTGGGTATGTTAATGCGCCTGGTCATGATGGCAGCAGTGGTGGTGAGCGGAAGGGATGGACAGTACCATGGTACTGAGAATGATGGGAGTGCACCTGGAGGAGGTGCTGATGGCAGATGGGAGCCATGGCCGGCGGCGGCGCTGAGGCACTGAGGCGGACGAGAGCAATGGCGGGAGAGTAGCATTGGTGGAAAGGGCTGCTGGGAGAATGCGGTGAAGATGGAGGTGTGTGAGGGGGAGGGGGAACCTGGAGTCACCTGGTCCAGTCCTCCAGCTCCTGTTTTGCAAATGGGTAACTAAGAGAGCCGGCCTCTGATGCGATCTGGGAGGAGCTCAAGGGTGCGGATTCAGGCCTCCAGGACCAATCCCAGGGCTGAGAAAGTGGCACCTAGGCCCTTTGAAAACCACGCAAATATCACAAGATGAGTGTGCAGGTCACTCATCTGCTAACCAGGATTCCCCATTGTCCCTGCTCACTGGGTCCAGAGTGCTGCTGGGAACGTTGTTTCTGTCCCCATCACTGATTTACTTGGAGTCCTGATCCATGTAAGGAGAGTAAAAAACACTAGACACTATATTTACTGTGATGGTTAAGTAAGCTGTACATCCGAAGATGTTAGCTTGGAGCAGGGCACCAGCAAGCTCTTAGAAAAGCTTCTCTGCGGTTGGTCATCACCATCACCATCATCACCATCTGTTCCAGACCACCCATTTAGTGGATGTTGAAACTGAGGTCTGGGGGGTGACTGTATTCTGGGAAGAGACTAGAAGGGGAAGGGGGTGGTGGGGGGTGGACCCCTGCTGAAAAGGGAGCTGGTAGGAGCTATATTTGAGTTTCTAGAAGGATGACTAAGGAGGTTGATAACAGGCTCTGGGGCTCAGGGCGGCAGGCCGGGGGCAGCTGCCAGGGAGAACCGCCCCCCTGGAGACGGCTTGTGTTTAGAGGCCCCTCCCAGCTCCCTGCTTTGTCTCTGTGGAGTGTGCCAGGCAGAGGCTACAGCTCAACCTGCGGCTTTCTGGAAACTTCTCATAGTGCCCTTCACTGTTGAGGTCAGGGATAGGAAGGGAAAGCCCTGGAGTGGGAGAGTTCTCCAGTCCCTCTCCCCCTCTCCCCATGAGCCCTGAGCCTGCTCAGAAGGTCCCCAGTGACAGAGGAGAAGCTGAGGCTTGGGAGAGGACAGGGTGGACAGTGCTCCTCAGGAGGAAGGAGATGGGTAATTCTCCCCTACAAAGGAGGTCACATGACACCCGAAGCCTTGCTTGGTGAGGAGTCTGAAGCGACAAGTCCAGAGAGAAATGCTTGGGAGCCAGGTGACAGCTGGTGAGTGGAAGATCCACCTAAGAGAGGACTCAAAATTGGGTTCTTATGGCTCAGATAAACACACGAAGGCAAAGGAGAGACGGTGCCCCTTCCTCCTCCTCTCCCTCTTTCTTCTGATTCTATCCCTCGTCTTCCTCCCTGCACCCCAACTCTGACGCATGGTCAGTGAAGTCGCACTGTGGCATTATGTGGGAGATGTGCAGACAGGTTCGGAGGTAAGCATCAGGGAGGATGGCGGGGACAAGGGAGCACTCCTCAGGGTGGTAACAAGTGTTGAGGTATAGGACTGGCTCCTCACTCCCACTTTGTGGGACGGATGGGTGTTATCCTCATTCAGATGCTGTCACTCCACCCAGGAAATGGGCTGGAGGAGGAGGAGTGACTTTCCCAAGGTCACACAGCTGGGGCTGAGCACAGACATCCCTCCTCCCTCTCCTCTGCTCCCCCTCCTCCCAGGCAGCCAGGCACCCGATGTCAGCTGCTCTGAAGTGAGTGGCTATTTTTATTCTGGTGTGAGGGACCTGAAACAGCATAGCCATGTAGGTTAGAAGACTCTAGGACACAGGCCTCAGCAGGCAAAGCAAAGCTCAGGCAGCAGCCCTAGGACCCTGCTGAGTTTGCCTGGGGGAACTCTTGTTCCTTGCAGATTGCCTAGTCCTGGGCTCCCTGGGCTCCAAACACTTCTTCACTGGAGGTCAGAGTAGAGCAGAGAAGCAGAATAAGACCTGTTAGTGGCCTTCACCCCATACCCAGCTTGATTCTAACCTTGAAATTGACAGAGACTTGATCCCATGCCAAGACTAACCCTCTACACCAGTTCTCAAAAAGAGCTCTGACCATCACTTGGGAAATGGTTCTTTGGTGAGCCACATACTGACCCTGAGCTACACCTGATAAAAGGCTGATCCCAACTTGAGACCTTCATTGCAGACCTAGACTCAACCCATCCTAGCCTAAGGATTGAACCCACTCACGGAGTGATAACCTCAGCATGGATTAGCTCTGTTATAAGATGAAACACTGCTTTTGGTCACAGAGCTCCGAGCTTAATCATTGACTGGCCCTTGGTCTCATAATAAATTCTCACCATGTATCATGCAAATTCTGTTTATTTTGGTCATAAATGGAACCCTGAATCTGATCGAAGTCCAAGTCCCCAGCTCAGTTATGGACTGAGTCATAACTCTGGTCATAGGCTGAACCTTTTTCCTGGCCAAAGACTGAACCCTGACGGCATCCCAGGTTTAGTTCTAAACCTATGAGGTTTTATTATTGTGTTGTTAATGGTGGTGATAATTGTCTGTCTGTCTGTCTGTCCATCCATCCATCCATTCATCTTCTGAGAACGGCTCAGTGTGTAGTCCAGGCCCGTCTTGAAGTTTCGATCATCTTCCATCTGTCTCTCTTCTCCTTCTTGTTCTTGTTTTTCTTCTTGGAGACATGGTTTCTCTGTGTAGCCCTGGCTGTCCTGAACTCACCCAGTAGACCAGGCTGGTCTGGAACTCAGAGATCCGCCTGCCTCTGCCTCCTTAGTGCTGGGATTAAAGGCATGTGCCGCCACTGACCGGCTCCCTTCTTAAATCTTTGCTTAAACTAAAAGCTGTGAGTAACTCTGATGAGTCTAAATTCGACACACACTAAGTTGCAGTCCCAACTTACACAAGGAAGCTGTTGGCCTGGACTGGACCAGAGCAGAGTCCTGGGACATTTTGTGCTGCTGATGCCAGAATGTTC